TATCCTAGTTGCGTAGGTCTGTAAATAATCGAGTCTGGACCAGACAATCCAGCGATCAACAGCATGAGCATCGATCTGCGCAATTGGGAACCGATGACATGTGTAAACCAAGTCAGCGAGCCACATGCATGTATGAAGTAATACTTCATTAATCATATGTCTCGCTGTAGGGGTGAGGTGCGGTTTTGTCAGATCAAGACATGTAATACACAAGCCCTGTAACACACATAACAGTCTTAGAAATGGTTGCACATTACATAACGTTTTACACAGGTATCACAATTAGTTTATCACAATTAATTCTATAGTCTACCAAATACACATATAAATTATACCACAACATTCTATATTGTCACTACGCCAAGGGAGAAAACGATCAAATGAAATTATATGCACAACATTGGTTGTGACACAAAGGGAGATAATAACCATATGAAACTATTAACAACATTGGTTGTGCCACCAAGGTAGATAATTAATTGCTAAATAACATTTTGCCCAAAAAATAATTCAAATGTAAAACAAAATGTACACATATATCTGACAGACAAAAGGTTCACAGTTAACATGGCATACAGCCTAGATAACTATTTGATAACCCTCAAAGGTTACATGAAAGGCGTACATTAAATATATATATATATTGACATATGAAAATAAACCTGACCTGAAATTCATCTGAAATACTTGACAAATACAACCAAATGTCAATATGATTGACATATGCTTAAACTTTTTATAACTTATATAATATTTTTAATCTTATTTTACTTGGAAACAATAAAGCCCAATTTTATATGCAATATATATATATATATACATATATATATGTATATATATATATATATTGACATATGAAAATAAACCTGACCTGAAATTCATCTGATATACTTGACAAATACAACCAAATGTCAATATGATTGACATATGCTTAAACTTTTTATAACTTATATAATATTTTTAAACTTATTTTACTTGGAAACAATAAAGCACAATTTTATATGCAATAATTATAAAATAGTTTTATACAACTAAACCAAACTGACTTATTAAGAACATGAAAAATGTCTCCGCTGTAGGTAGGTAGGTAGGTAGGCAGGTAGGTATTGACTCAAACTGTTTGACTCAGCGCACATTTGTCAATATCAGGCTCAAGAGTATAAGTAAACTGATCCGCTGATAGGTTAAGAGGGTGTAACAGTAATCTTCATAAGTTTCAACGTCTAAGATATCTCAGTATCTTTAGTTGTTGAACTGAGAGATGACGCATAACCTTGGTCACACTTGTCTTGAGGAGTGTTATAATGTTTCAATTGGCTTTTATCAGTTCAGTTAAGGCAAGTTTAATGAATGTACGTACTTGTTAGCATTGTTCAGATTTCAGTTTGGCTAGTGTTTTCTGAAACGTTTTTTTCAGTTTTATTGTTTATTTGTTTTGCTTTGTGCATGTTATGTTTGTGCTTAGGTGCTTTTAATTATTGGTCAAATTACTATCATGTCAGAAGTCATTTTATGTCCAATGTAACTAATATCAGTTGTGAAAATTAAATGTTACTTGAGACATTAGTCCTTTTTTCTAGTCAAGTTGAGACTTTTTAAAAAAAGAAAAGAATTACTGTCACTTTGGAGGGTATGGAATCCACAATACTCTACTCTGAAGTTCAGAAATATTGCCATCCAACACCTGTTTCATTAAATGAGTATAATACAAATGCCCGGATATCTGTACTTATTACGAACACTCTTCAGGAAGCCATTATGTTTTACACACTAAATTATCACACCACACATTATCTTCTGCAAACTGTTGCAGGAATAAATGATGAATAAGTACACATCATTCTGGGGAGTTTTTAGGGTTCAAGCTCAAATCTAAACATGACAATCATTCATTGATGTCAGAACATCATTATACCCAATGCTGAAGGTAAAGTCCTGTTATGAATTTGCAATAAAGCCAGAAATTCCAGACTATAAAAGTAGGGAGAGCACTTGGTGCTTATTTAGATGTTCATTTCTGGCATAAATGATTAATACCCCTATTACGTTTGAATTCAATCAATACCAAAGCCCATTGATCAAAGGATTGATTTATCAAACAACGATGAAAGAAATCGTTCAAAAACATTTCTTTACATATGATAGGGATTCCTTTAACATGGATCGTCCTCCCTCTATGGCCCCTCAACGATCTGTCGTGTGGAAACATACTTCACTATATGTACATTTCCTCCTTCACAAGCAAGATTTAGGATGTTATCACCGGCATCATTTGTGATTGTTAGATCAGCCTCATTCTCAACAAGTATTTTAAAGACAGCCTCCTGTCCATCACGTGCTGCAATCATTGCATAAAATAAATAAATGAATTCTTCGTCAACAAAATTGACAAAATTCGTGAAGGACTGTCAGCTGACATGGAACAATCATCTCCTGTCGAAATTCCACATTTCACAGGTGAGAGAGTCGATAGGTTTTATCCTTTTTCCGAGGATGAGATCAGAACTATTATGACCAAATCAAAACCAACATCCTGCCCCTCTGATCCAGTTCCCACCAAGTTCCTTCTAGAAAATATTGATCTGTTTTTGCCAACTGTAACAGACATTGTAAACAAAAGCCTCGGAAGCGGATATTTTCCTCAGGAATTCAAGAACTCTTTTGTTAAGCCTTTACTGAAGAAACCTAATTTGGATAGTAGTGATTTCAAGAATTTCCGCCCGGTATCGAATCTCTTTTTTCTTCAAAAGTTGTGGAAAGGGCTGTCAGTATCAGGCTGAAGGAACACTTGGACAATCATAACCTATTGGACAAGCATCAGTCTGCATACCGACAATGTCATAGTACTGAAACAGCTTTAGTACAAGTTAGTGATGAGTTGAAACGGAATGTAGATGGGGGTGACATAGCAGCATTGGTCCTTTTAGACCTCTCCTCAGCATTTGATACGATAGACCATAGTATCCTTTTAAATCTGCTGAAAACCCAGTATGGAATTGACGGCATAGTACTGAACTGGATAAGCTCCTATCTCTGTGACAGACGGCAGTGTGTAATAATAGGGGAAGACAGATCTGACAGCATTACTCTCAAACATGGAGTACCACAGGGATCTGTTTTGGGACCGTTGCTGTTCCTGCTGTATACTGGTCATGTTGCCAACATCACATCAGTCCACAACATGTCGCATCACTCTTACGCAGATGACACCCAACTCCTCAAGAAAATACCACTGCAAAATCTAAATCAGTCACTTCAAGAACTCACAAACTGCACAGGGGAAATCAAGTCCTGGATGACAACTCATATGCTTAAACTCAATGACACGAAGACTGAGGCACTTCTGGTAGGAACAAGTCACCAAATTTCAAGATGTCCCATTAAGAACCTAACCATCGCCGATGCAGTTGTTCCTATAAGCTCATCTGTCAAAGATCTAGGCATATACTTTGATACATCACTGTCAATGGAAACACAGGTGAACAACATCTGTAAGACTTGCTATTTCCATCTTCGCTCCATCAGCAACATCCGACAATATCTTACAGTTGAAGCCACCCATGCCTTAGTCCGGGCGCTTGTGCTTTCAAGGCTCGACTACTGCAACAGCTTGTTGTTTGGGATCAGTCAGAGGCTATTGGATAAGTTACAGAAGGTGCAGAACACGGCCGCACGTATATATCAGTCGCATTCCCAAACATGGCCACATCACACCTGTTCTTAAACAGCACTGGCTCCCCATCAAGGCAAGAAGCGACTACAAAATCCTCTGCTTGACCTACATGGCCCGTCACGGACTCTCTATATCTCTGACCTGCTTACTCCTTACTCAAACAAGCGCTGCCTTCGATCATCCAATCAGGAGTTTCTGTTCGTGCCAAACTTCAAGCTTAAAACTTTTGGAAACCGGACTTATTCATATGCAGCCCCAACCTTGTGGAATTCACTCCCATACAATCTGAAAGTTTCTGATAGTATTGCCACATTCAAGTCAGGACTCAAAACACCTGTTTTCAATGTATTAGTAGGAACTCTATTTTGGACGTGTACATATTGCTGTATAAATGTGGGAGACTCTTTTAATCTGTCATTGTTGCGCCTTGAGCATATCTGCTGACGTGGAAAAGGCGCATGAAGAAATCTGCATTTTATTATTGCTGACGTGCAGTCGTCCTCATCTCGACTGTTAATATCCACAAGTTTGTGTGTCAGGAGTTGCTTGATTATGCCGAGACTGTCGTGATAACAGGCCATATGAAGGATGTTGTCGTTGTTTTCATCCAACAGTGACAGATCAGCTCCCCCTTCCACAAGAACGTCAAACACATCTTTTTGTCCTACACAGGTTGCGTGCATTATTGGTGTCCAACCGTTCATATCCCGACTGTCGATGTCGACAATTTCATGTGTCAAGAGGTACTTGATTATCTCAACATTTCCTTCTTCACAGGAAACATGAAGTATGGTTTCATTGTTAGTACTCACTAGTGACAGATCTGCTCCTGCCTCGACAAGAACGTCAAACACATCTTTACATCCTTCACTGGCTGCACGCATTGCTGGTGTCCAACCGTCCATATCTCGACTGTCGATGTCGACAATTTCACGTTTCAGGAGGTACTTGATTATCTCAACGTTTTCTCTTTTACAAGACACAGATCAGCTCCCCTTCTGCACAAGAACGTCAAACACATCTTTATGTCCTTCACAGGTTGCTTGCATTATTGGTGTCCAACCGTCCATATTCCGACTGTCGATGTCCAGAACTAGCTCATGTTTCAAGAGATACTTGATTATCTCAACATTTCCGTTTTCACAGGATACATGAAGTATGGTTTCATTGTCAGTACTCACTAGTGACAGATCTGCTCCTGCCTCCACAAGAACGTCAAACACATCTTTACGTCCTTCACTGGCTGCATACATTGCTGGTGTCCAACCGTTGACTGCCCGACTGTCGATGTCGACAATTTCATGTGTCAGGAGGTACCTTGATTATCTCAACAGTTTCTCTTTTTACAAGACACATGAAGGATGGTTTCTTTATTATTGCCCACTTGTGACAGATCTGCTCCTGCTTCCACAAGAACGTCAAACACATCTTTTTCTCCAACACTGGCTGCACGCATCACTGGTGTCCATCCGTTGATATCTCGACTGTCTATGTCCACAATGCCAAGTTTCAGGAGGTACTTGATTATTTCAACAGTCCCCACATGAAGGATGGTTTCTTTGTCATTATTCACTAATAACAGATCTGCACCTTGTTCAACAAGAAAGGCTAAAGCATCCTTATGTCCAGCATTGACTGCATGCATTACTGGTGTCCATCCATCCACATCTTGACTGTCGATGTCCACAACGCCATGTTTCAGGAGGTACTGGAGTATCCCAACATTACCCCCTCCACAGGCCGAATGAAGGAGGGTTTCTGCGCCATTAGTAATTAGTGACAGATCTGCTCCTGCTTCCACAAGAACGTCAAACGCACCCTTACGTCCCTTACTTACTGCATGCATTACTGGTGTCCGGCCGTAGATGTCTCGATTGTCAATGTCCAGAACTGAAAGTGTCAGGAGATACTTTACTATCTCAACATTACCCCCTCCACAGGCCATATGAAGGATGCTTTCTTTGTCATTACTCACTTGTGACAGATCTGCCCCTTCCTCCACAAGAACATCAAACACATCCTTTTGTCCATCACTTACTGCATACATTACGGGTGTCCAGCCGCTCATTGCACGACTGTTGATGTCCACAGTGTGGTGTGTGAGGATAGCCTTGACTATCTCAACATTACCCCCTTGACAGGCCACATGAAGGATGGTTTGTTTGAAATCATCCACCAGTAACAGATCTGCTCCTGCCTCCACCAGTAAATAAAACACGTCTTGTCTTTTGTATAACGCTGCATTCATTGCTGGCGTCTGCCTATCCATATCTCGGCTGTTGATGCTTGCAATATTCTGTTCGAGGACATACCTGACGATTTCAACATTTCCCCCAAAACAAGCGAAAAAGAGAATGTTCCGGTTTCGATGATCCACTAAAGACAGGTTGGCACCTTCCCTGACAAGTAGGTCAAACACTTCTCTATGTCCCGCTTTTGCTGCGTGCATCACCGGTGTCATGTTGCCCCTCCCCATTGAGTTGATATTTGCCTGGCCTTCAGACAAAAGGTTCTTGGTTCGGGCCAAATCTCCAACCGTGCAGGCATCTAGGAGAGTAGTGTTTAATTCACTATGATTCCATTTTTCTGGAGGAAAACAAACAATCATTCGATAAAACCTGAACAAATCATATCCTAGAAACATGGTAACGCATATGTAGAAAGCATGTATTATCATCTCCAACACCTCAATTATAATTTTATTCGACAGATTTGTTAATATTTGGTTTTTGAAATGAAACGTATAAAACATTAAAGGTAAAGGGTTGTAGATCCATTTCAGGCAGGAAGATTTGTTAACTTGCCTTTGCACGTCTTGTTATTGGAACAACTGGAGTGGCAGATTGCCCTCAGCTTTTTGGCCAGCTCTTTGTATCATCACAATTTGATTGTGAATTTTAAACACATGGATTTCGCACAGTGGACGCTAGTCTCACAAGACATGTCATATGACTATACATTTATTCAAAGACACAAATACCTCTAGTATATTCAACAAAAATGGCAAAATTATTAATGATTATCGGTGAGTTGAGTCCTCCTCCTAAAACAATTGGACAAACGCAAATACTCGTGTGATTCAAATGAAATTTACTTATTGGAACGCTTACATGTTTGACAGGAAAATAGCTTACATATACTTTCTGATTCAAATGAAGGTTACTTATTGGATGATAGACATGATAGTTTACATGTACTGGTTGAATGGAAAATTCTCCAGGAAGAGTAACTCGATTGAATAATTGTACAGCTAGTTTCTATTTTCAAGCAAACCAGCAATGGTTTTACTCTGCTATTCTTCTTAGCTAACTCTTAGCACTTCAGAATAGGATCCAGAACAGTATCTTCTAGAATACCGGATAGCAGCTCTATTTTTACATATATTAACACTTCTAAAATATATTAAAAACACCCTTAATGCAAACAATTTAATATTCTTTTCTGACTCTCTTTCGTATCTTCACGAAATTATTAAAAACGATTCTTGTAAACACCCACTTTCAACAGAAATTATTGAATTGTATAATGACCTTGCTACTGGTCAATACGACATTGTCCTCTGTTGGTTACCAAGCCACGTTGGAATTTCGGGTAACACCATGACCGACTTTGCTTGCTGAGGCAGCACTCAACAAATCTGTAACACCACTTCTCATTCCATACTCTGATTGCAAAGCTCGTAAATCTCACATCCGTGATCTGATGCAAAAGAAGTGGGACACCCAGGTAGGCATTAATAAACTACATGAAATAAAACCAATCATCGGTTACACCTACTTCTGTTGTCTGTCCAGATTTGAGGAGGTCATTATGCGACGATGTCACATTGACCATACTAGATATACACACGGATATTTATTGAAAGGCGAGCATCCTCCGTTTTGTATTCTTGGTGATGCAAGAATCACGGTCAAGCATCTCCTGCTTGACTGTGTTGATTTTTCCATCATATGGGATAAATACTTCAGTTTCAATTTAGGACCTTTTTAACAATTTTAATTATTATTCAAGCACGACATTGTGTAATACTCGATTCTGATTGGCTGAGAGCTCATCAAAACCGTACTTAAATGGCAGTTTAAGACCGCTAATTAAAGTGACCGATTCACCGGTATGATTACAGTCTAATCCCACAGATAACCTTCAAAACAAAAGCGGCAGAATTCCGCCATACTTCAAACCGGGTCCAGATCCAGAGGGCAGGACGTCGACAACACATGTCGACACAATTACTTTCGTGAATAAAGTTAGCGACGACTAAACTAAGTGAGTTCTTGGCTTGAATTGGGGCGAGTCGATTCCCATACAGTAGGGGAGATTAATAATTCGCTTGAGAAAAATCAAATAATTGTACTTGCTTTATTAAATCTATTTATGCTACTTGTTACAAATACAAGCATATTGCTTCCTGAAATAAAGCATTCATGTTGCTGAAAATGTCTTATTTTGTTCATTACACAGCCTGTCCCTCAAAAGGACGATTCCAAGCGATTTCCAGGAAAAGGTCCCCTTCGCGCATTGTGTTCTTGCGCGCCAAAGAGTCCGGTTTTAAAACGGTTATCAGTCGTGCTAGAAAGAAGATAAAGCTACTATTGTTTTCAAGTTTGCGGCCCTTTATCGTTGGTTTAAGATCGCTAAATGTTCAATTTAAAACCCTCACGATTAATAGTTACGTTTGTGAAATTTCCGCGATTCATCGTAATTCAAAACCAGCAAATTTAGTTTTAAAGACTCTGTGTATTGAACACATGAAGCATGACCTCTTCAGGAACAGTAAAGATCCTATACAGTTGTTTTTCGATATACTTGATGGCATTGTTGACACAAGTCCTTAGTCTTCTGCAACTTCACATATTCGTAAACGATTGTTTAATCATGAATGCAAACAGGCCAAAAAGTGTAGCAAGAGAGCCACGACTCGGCACGAAACTGTTCAGTCTTGGAGAAAGTATGTTTCCAAAATAATGTCCCGTACACCGACTTCAAAGGTGTGGTACATGATACAAAGGATTGAGGGCAAAGGTTCAAATTTCACTGTTCCCCATCTGAAGGATGGTAACAGTTTATTAACTGATAAACCTGACATTGCGAATAAACTTGGTGAAACTCTCGCCAAGGATTCTTCTTCGTCCAATTATGTTCCCGTATTTCAAATACATCAGAAACAACAGGAGAAGAAAAATAATAATTTTAACTCAGACTATGGTGAAGATATTAATGAATTATTTTCATTACATGAGCTATATATACAACCCTTGAGCAAGCTTATGATACCGCAACAGGGGCAGATAATATTCACTATCACCGCTTGAAACATGTACCTGATTCATGTCTCGAAATCCGTTTAGACATTTTTTTATCAAATATGGACTTCAGGGAATTTTCGTGGCATAATGCCATTGTAGTCCCTATTCCAAAGCATGACCGGGATCATACCGATCCTTCCAATGAACAACCAATATTTTTAACGAGTTGTTTCTGTAAAACCATGGAACGAATGGTAGATAACTGATTAATGTGGAAAACAATAACTTATCGTCGAGTAACCTGTTTTCGAACGATTACTATTTTCGAACGGCCATTTTGTTCACGATTTCTCGAGTTATAACGAGTGATGTGACGTCACCGAGCAGCCGAATTGACAGCAGGAATTCCCTCGCATCAGCTCCGACAAAATACTTCGCGTCAAGCTTCCAAAGGTAAGTTTCACTTTGAAAATATTGTAAACATAGTGCAATTTATGCATGCATCCTTTTCTTGAATGCACATCAATTATCAAATGTAAGGATATCTTAGAAATACCACGCAAACCTCAATGTGAAGCGTCGTCTGCAATGTTGACTTGTCAACAGCGGGAAACTGTCAAAATTATAAATTAATGATAGGGTATGTGACGATTTCTATGTAATCAATTTGGAATTTTGGGGACAATTTTTAAAAATTCTCTTTCAGGTTATCCCTTCACCTGAGAAAACGATGTATATGGGTTATACTGATGAAACTATAACTTAGGCATATTCAGCTGTGCTGAAGGAGGGTATGGCAATCAGGAAAGCTGCAAGATTGTTTGGGATCCCTGTATCTACTCTCCGTGATAGAATAAGTGGCAAGATCGACATAACATGCACAAGAGCATGTCCTGAACATCTATTTAACAGACAGGAAGAGGAAAAGTCGGTTGATCATGTAAAAAGTATGGAATCATATGGATTTGGCTATACACGCAACGATGTCATCACCATAGCAACATGCCTTTGAGTTTCCCTTGGGAAAATAAAGGATGGAAGGCAGCTGTCACTGCGATGGTTTTATGCTTTCTTGAAGAGGTGGCCCGACTTAAAAGTTCAACAGCCAAGATCACTGGAACTTCAAAGAGCGAAAGCTACGTCTGAAGAAAATGTGGCCAATTACTACTCTCACCTTGAAACCATACTGGATTTGTACGATCTAAAGAAGAGTCCAGAGAGGATTTATAATCTAGATGAGAAAAGTTTGATGGAGCATCACACACACACACCCAAAAGTCGTCTCATCAAGTGATGTGACCCCAAGTGCCGTTGTACTTCCAAAATCAAGTACTACAACTATGATTGCATGTGCTAATGCTATTGGGAATGCTTTACCACATTTCTTTATGTTCAAGGGACAGAGAATGAGGGAGGATCTCCTTGAAGGATCTATCTCAGTGACCATTTCCTGAAATACAGCATCCCAGTCACTAGGGAGAATCCTGTCTTGATTTTGTTTGATGGCCATCGTTTCAGTGGCCTTGTGTGAATTGGCAAGAGAACGGAACTTGATTTTGTTTGTACTTCCCGCCCATACTTCACACATTTTACAGCCCATGGATGTAGCACTACAAAAATGACTTGGTTTCCTGAAACCTGGAAACCATCCGTATACTGGGTAATTTGGGAATCCAGTTGGTTTCCATTCACTGAAACTGAGTAACTGAGTTTCCAACTAAGTAGATTCCATTTTGGATTCTTTGATTTTTACATGTCTGTAAATGGAAACCAACAAGAAACTAAGGTTTAGAGGTTTATTGTTGGTTTCCATTCCTGGAATTTGCAATTGAAGTTTCATTAAATGGAAACCAACATAAAACCAGATAATGTAGTTTCATGTTGGTTTCCTGTGCACTGTTTTGAACTGAGTAACTTAAAATTTGCAAGTATTTGGCATGATGTTGACCATCCTGGCATTTCATTTGATTGGGAATTTGAAAATCTAAATAGATGGATGATATTCTACGATGAGTAACAATTTTCACTGTAGTAATGAAAAATCTTAAACGTCAAAAAGTGAAATTTGAGGGAAAAATCTGTTTAATTATGTTTGCTTGAGAATGTGAAAGAGTATAAGCATTTAGGAAGTTTAGTATAATGTAATTCAAACAATTGTCAATCCGGTACATACATTACGGATTTCTCAATAACTAGAATATCAGGGAATTGTACT